CTTAGAGGTAACATTTAAGCTAAGGTTTGGCGGACAAGTAGCTAGTGATAGGTGGAAGAGAAATGAGGCATTTTAGGCAGAGCAAACTGCATCTGGGAAGCCCAGAAATGGAAAGTTTCACTCAAGAAACCAAAAGGCCACTGTAGCTGATGCAGCTGAAGTCCAGAGGGTGACAACAGACAGAGGCACATTAAAAATGAAGCAGAACAGGGTCAAGTCACACACACTATGCCCTGGTCAAGGAGTTTGAATTTCACTTGAAGAACAATGGGAAGTCATTAAAAGCATTAAGCAAGGGAGTGATAAGATCAGATTTATGTTTTAAAAAAGGAACTATGTAAGTAGAAGGAAATCAAAGGAGTGAAGAATTTCAAGAACTTGTTACTAATCACTTTAGGAATTGGCTAATTAGGTGGTTGCTAATGTAAATGCAGACTTCTAAGTCCGATTTAAAGGTTGAGGAAAGAACAGAGGCTTGAGGAAGTAGAGACAGGCAGAGTAAGCAATATGTACTTTTAAAAACAGCTGAAAAGCAAGGGAAAGCAGGTAAGTCTCATACAAACTGGTTTATGGGAAGGTAAGAGAAACTGGATTTTAAGAGGGTGGGAAGTTAAAGAAGATAACTGGTGAAACAAGTTCTCAAAAAAAGATCTACAATGTCTAAAAAAGAGGATGAATGTGTATTATTTTTACTAGTTTAGAAGATAAAGGGAAGGACACTAAGAAAGATGCCACATCTAAACCTCAATTTACTTGTGAAGAAAAAAAAACTAAAGGTCATTTACTAGAAAGAGTTTAGAAAAGAGGGTGAATGAATTGATAGTGCCGTTTTGCATAGTGGCTATTTGACAGCCCTCCCACAGACACCTGGGAAGAGGTGGGCAGGGCCAAAGCAGCCCTGGACTAAAACCCACTTCATGAGAGTGAAGCATCCTGTTCATTCAGAGTCCAGAAGTGGCTGGTATAAAACTGTAACCTGTATTCCAGGAAATGCCCACATCGAAAAAAAATATTTTTACAAACACTGGAATATTTTAAAAGTTTAGGCAAGTTGCACAACTCTAAAAATAAGAAAAGCCACTGAATTGTACACTTTAAAAAAGAAAAGCCTGGTGTAAGCTGCTGCAACCTTCACAAATGCAGGAAGAGGGAAGTGGGGAAGGAAGCACTCTAGCAGGGTGTCCACCCTTAGAGGATCTACATGGCTGTCAAGAAATAATAACAAGCAGTTTGGTAAGTGTGGAATCAGAGCAAGGCCCTGGGAAAATCAGGAATGTAACAGGATCAGCTATGATCATGCAGTGTCAACCTGATATACTGCTGTTACATTCACTGTGTTCCCAGGTGCCACAAATTCCAGTCTCTGTTCATTGGAGGATCCTCACATGAAGGGAGGAGAGGGTATTAAAAATATAACACCCTCACCATGGAGCACCAACCCCTCACTTTCTTTTAACTAAGTAGATTGTTGGAGAACTACAGGCTTTGTCCCTGAAGCTTTAAAGTTCTCATGGCTTTTAATTTTCAAAACACTTCAGATACTCCACCCACCTGCACTGTGAAGGGCTCACAAATAAATGGAGAGCAAGGTTTGGGGGGAGATGTAATGTCAAGACCCAAGTTAGAGATTTGCAGTGCTAGGAATCACTTAAATGGTTAAAAGAAAAAATAATTTACTGTAGTGACCCCACAGAATATCACTGTAAGAGATGCCACAGAAAAACAAGGCCTCTCTCCATGAGAGCAGTACCGTCTCTCTGGTAGCCTGTCACTAGAATATACAAACTTAATTCTATGTTAGACTCCTAAACCACAGAGTACAACAGACAGCATGAAAAAGACATACATACATACACACTCAGAGTATATCTATGCCCGACTGAACCCAAAGGATATTTTACTAAAAATGGAGAAATTGTGACTAAGAGTACAAGTATCGTCAATCAATATCTGTTTACTGATACTGGTCAAATAAAACAAAGAAAGAAGCAAGGTTGTCATTTAAGGAGGAAATTAAAGGTTTGCTTAATATAAAAACATTATTTTGACATAGAAAAAGAATGTGTACAAAAACAAATCTGAAAGCTATATACTTACTTTGTCTAATTAACCTTTTGTCAGCAACCAAAACATTTTCAGCATCCACAATGATTACCTTCCCATCTCTCGGACCAACTGCAAAATTGTCAAAGCTGACATCCAGGAGGTAGAGTGCAAATTCAAAGTCATTGTTTGTAAGCTGCTCTGCTATTTCCATTAATTGCCAAGCAAGGTCAACTCGTTTCTCCCACGGTGCATTAAAGTAACTCCACAGTTCTTCTCCAACATAATTGACAGCCACCATTCTTCCACAAGCTCCAAGATATTTTGCAAATGGCCAACCTTCATCAGATGGAAAACTCTACAAAAGAATTACTTTAGTATTATAAGAGATTCTGGTGAAGATATCCCAGGGTCTAGAGCAGTGGGTCTCAACCTTCCTAATGCCGCGACCCCTTAATACAGTTTCTTATGTTGTGGTGACCCCCAACCATAAAATTATTTTCGTTGCTACTCTATNAGATCTCACATTATCACTGCTAAAGTAAAAGATAAAATTTTAAAATACAATATACTTGAGATGTGTCCGATTTAATCTTTTCTCTTTCTCATGCATACTGCTTGTGAAAAGGGTGTAAGTTTATCTGTTCCCTCCAGAGGGCCTCCAGACCCTGGGAGCCTACCAGCAGTGGGTGTGCCTTCTCCTCGTTCTCCCTCTGCAATGGAGACTCAATCCCTTGGCCCCCAAACCCAAAATGTATCACAAATGACAGCTACTATTAAGCATAGAGAAGGTTATCTCAGTTACTTCTCATCTGGATCCTGAAAGATAAACATTATTTTCTTAATTTGTTCCTAGAAAACTGAGGCCCAGAGAAGTTAAATTTCACAGTTACCAGACTCATGATTGGTAGAGTCGAGATTCGAATGATGTCTGCTGATTCAAGGGCCACGTTATTTCCAGTGTGTCAAATGGCTTCTCAATTTCAAACACCCACCAACAATTTTTGCTAATTAATACACTATTTTGGGGAGCAATTCTAGATGCACAGCAAAACTGAGCAGAAACTGGATGGAAAGTACAGAGTTCCCATATACCTCTCCCACTACATTTGCATAGCCTCCTCCGCTAATATCCTCACCAGAGTAGTATATTTGCTACACTCGATTCACTCTTGGTGTTATACAGTCTATGGGTTTGACATATGTGTAACACAAGTACCCGTTTATACAGAATAGTTTCATTTCCCTAAAAAACCTGTGCTTTGCTTATTTATTCCTGCCACACTTGGCAACCACTGATCTTTTTACTGTCTTCATAGTTTTACCTTTTCCTGAATGTCATATGGTTGGAATCATAGTGTATATAGCTTTTCAGATTGGCTTCTTTCACTTAATAATATACATTTCAGTTTTCTCCATGTCTTTTCATAGTGTGATAGCTCATTTCTTTTTAGTGCTGAATAATACCCCATTGTCTGGATGGACCAGTTTATTTATCCATCACCTACTGAAGGACATCCTGGTTGCTTTCAAGTTTTGGCAATTATGAACAAAGCTGCTGTAAACATCTGTGTGCAGGTCTTTATTAGACATAGGTTTTCAATACCACCCACAATTTTCAGTCACTTCCAACCCTAACAATCCCTTAGAACTACAAAAATTTTTACAAAGATTTATGCCAGGCTCGTCTTCTAAAGGAATTTCCCAGGGACATAAAGAAAAATGTTTTAGAAATATAGATTAGCAATTAATATTTTATGAGAGTTTAGATAAAATCTACACATATGCATAATATGGACTTCTTAACACAATGAAATTCTTGAAATATTGAAAAAATGAAATTTGAAGAATATTATTAATAAAGATTAGTTTTCACTGTTCAATTGATAGAAACCGCAAGTCCCAATGCCAAATGAAAATGATAAAGTGGAATTATTTTCCAGGGATTACAGAGTCATATACCATCAATTCTTGGCACATATTTTAGCGTGAACATATTAAAAAAACAAAACAAACAAACAAAAAGACTGTGCAAGCAAACACAAGAACCTTATCCTTGGAGGTCTTAGGTTTTGTGCTTACATGGGAAGACAAAGGGTGTGCCATCAGCAGCTTTAGAGAGCAATGTAATTAATTCCAAATCATAAATTCAACTGAGCACTTAATGTCCAATATGGGCTGAAACAATCATTTTAAAACAGGACACATAAAATAAATTCCATTTTCAGTACAATTTTAGGAGTTTAATTTGAATCTGATGAATTATATTTAACATATAAATTTTTTATTGTAGAGTTCATGTTATTGTATGTCATTCTTTTTCTTATAACTGGTAGAGATAAAGATAAGAATGGTCTGTAGGAAAAGAGGTATTTAATCAAGCCCTTACCACTGACAACTTCAAAGTCACTGTGAACAATGTGTAGACGTGCTAGCCGACCAAGGGCGATCCCATTGTGAGAGCTGAGCCTGGGAGAAGAGCAAGAAAGGAGGGAAGGAAATCAACTCTACTAAATAACAGTGTAAAATACAAACTTGACAATGACAGAAGCAGCCTGGTAAATGACAATAGTTTTCTTTCTCCTTATGGACTTTGAGCAGAGATCANTTGTTCATTTTTATCCACATACTTAAATTCTGATATTTAAAAATTGGGTAATGAAGACCAAATTGGGCAGACTGGCTAAACTGTCTGCTTACAATAAAAATTACTAGTCCATCAATTAAAACATTATGATACCTGATTAAACTCAAAGACTGTCATGCTAATTTTTGCAAAAGTACTGATGAATAAAAGGTAGGGTACCTTTAAAGCTACATATGCGAGGAAGCATTAGCTTAACTTTTCAACAGAAAAGAATAACCAGGGAGATCTGAATTGAGTAATGATAGAGTTAAAGTATTGGAAGGTTGGAACAGTAAGAATGAGTAGACGGCCAATTTTAAAATCTAACCATGGAACTACATCTAATATTTCTTTGGCATATGCATTACTACCTTGGAATAGTTAGCATTTAAAAAACACTGGGTTATTTTTTTCCTCAATCAAAATTAACATCAAGGTGAAGATTGCTAGTACTCTTCTTAAAGCCTTTTAGGGGACAAAATAACTTTTTTGCAACATATGCCAAACTTCATGTTTAGTGTACACTTATAATTATTGGCATAGAGTGATGTAACCATTAAATAACCTTAAATGACCTCATGCAATGGTGGAACCACAGAAAGTGGGGATAAAAGTATTTACATAATAAAATATTCGGCTTTCTGAAGAAAGCAAGGTAAACCTGGGAATCCTGCCCTAACAGTTAATGTGTACCGCATAGCACTGAATGGAAACTAGTCCAAATTTAAATGAATACTTACAGTAACCTGAATGTGTAAAATTGAATTTAAAAAAACATACAAATGGAAAAAAAAAAACAAAAAAACCCCTACACATCAGAAGGAAAAAGTGGCCTATAAAACAGACCAATCTAACTTGACATTCGAAGTAAATGCAAGAGATTCACAAAATCATGATCGTAATGCAAACTAAGTCAAGTACCAAGTACCCTTTGATACTCAAGCCAATGTAACTATCAGATTCATCTCCAATAGCTTAACAATATTCATTAACGCACTCAGGCATTCAGGGACACAACACAGTCACTGAGAGCTCAAGCCTCCACAGTGTAAGAACAAACTCATCTGCAGAAGAATCATGTGATTTTTGAAGTAATGTCTCATTTTGATGGATGTTAACATAAGATCTATCAGTGCGAGTTTATCATCCTCTGAATGTATTACTTCCAAATTTCTATTTTCTAGATAGTTTTTGGTGGTTTCATTTTCGCCAGTGCTACTTTAATGGAGAAAAATTCACCATAGACTACCTCACATTATTACTTAATTGTGCTAGATATTCACGCAGTTCTTTTGCAGCCTGGAATCTGCCATAGCGCTTCTTTGGGTTGGCACACTCATCCAGCAAGGCCTCTAGTCGGCCATCTTTGGCGATCTCACTTGGAGGGTCATGGAGCAGGCCTCCAGAAGTGCCACGCCAGGTGGCGTGTCTGGATAAGAGGTTCTGACAAACAGCATAATAATTGTGGTCCACAGTGGCACGAGCACAAAGAATTTCTTTTGAAAATGATAAGCAAGCCTCCTTATCACAGTCATCAAATTTGCTCTCATACCACACATCCCAATTTTCAGGTTTATCTGTAAAAGGGGAGAAAACAGAAAGAGAAAAATACATTTTAAGAGTTTTCATTGCTTCCCAAAACATAACACTTCACTAATTAACATAGTAGTATTTGTTCTTAAAATTGTATAATAATTTTAAACGTTTAAATACATTAATTTATATACAGACATGTACTGGGAATACACAGTGTCTGGCGGAAGGGTTCAGTCTAGAGGAAACCTTCCACCATATAAAGTGCCATTCCTAGTATGACAGGGTGTTACAGGAGCAGAGAGGAAGCACTGTTTGTGCCTGGGGCTGTAGAAGCCTACAAAGAAAACACCTACTTTAGGCTTTAAAGATAATGGAGGTTGGGAGGGTGGGGAGGGAGGGGGGGAGAGCGCAGCCAGAGCCAGCGAGCAAACAGCACTGTAGGCCAGTGGACAGTACATTGCAGAGGCACGGACTTAGGGACTGCTCCATCTTGGTTCAGGAAGCACAGGTGCACTGTGGCTAGAGTGTGAGACAGGTACCTGGGCAGGAGGTACAGGTGAGGCTAGAGAAACGGGTTGTAGCCTGTGTGGTCATGGCCACAATTTGTTTTATAGAAAGTTAACTCTACGCTGAAGACTAGGGGGACTAACATGAGGACAGCAACTAAAAGCAGTCCAGGAAAAAAAAGGCAGATTGTAGAAACATTTGAGACAATNTAAGGGGGTGGGAGAAAGCAAAGTGGGGAAATCTCTGGGTACATATACTTCTTTTACATGGGTGGGTACAGGATAGTTATTAACATTTACAGCACATAGTGGTTTTCGGGGAACATGATAACAATGGGGAGTTCTGTGGTCTCCTGCTCTGGTGCATAGGTTGTGCCCTGAGGGATCTGGAAAAGGAGATTACTGTAACATTTCAAAGGTATGTTATCTTAGATGCAAAAAAGACAATAGACAGGCTTACTTAAGGCAAAGATTGACCTTTGTCAAAGTTCCTTATCAGCTTTTCAATTAATAATTTTAGCAGCCATTGATGATCATTGCTTAGCTCTTGTCAATCAATTAGGAACTGCAAAATAGTAATATTCTAACACACACTTTCTGCATTTATTAACTGGAATAAGTCTACAGATTCTTCTCCCTTCAATTGTTTGCTTACCTCGGGGTAAGGCAGGATAAATGCTTCTTTCTCTC